CCGTAATGGTGTACTCATTATTTGGCGGCATACCAACGGTAACCTGTTTTTGTCGCACCAACAAATCGGTAACAGCCTTGGCCAGATCTTCAACTCGTTTGCCCAACATACCGGCCGTGTGACGTACAAGGCCCCAGAGCTTTTGCTGGCAGGCCTTCTCATACAATCCTTTCAACAAATCGCGAACCGTAACGACGCGACCTTCTTCCAGCATTCCTTCAGATTGAGATATATTAATAGTAATGTTGGCATGATTATTGGGCGTAGATGAATTATTGGAGTTGGAACCATCAATGACCACCGTTGGTGGCAGGGGAGGCTTGGCAAATAGGGGACTTTTTAAAGCAGATTCGGAATCAAGAATTTCATCCACGAGTGCGCAATCGATTTCTTTTTTATTTTTTTGGTTTATGTTAATATATTTAAATTTAGATTTGCATGCAGAAAAAACACATTTCCCCAAATTTGTTTTTATTTTATTAAATGATGACGATGAAAACAAATGCATTGTTTTTTTTAATAAATAAAAGCGTTAACATAGAAGTAATGCCATAGTTGAGAGAAAAACCATCAAAATATTTCAAAAAAAGTATAAATGTGCGCAGTTTTTTTATTGAAAAAATATGGACGATGAAAATAATTGTGGTAGTATGAAAGAGAAGAAAGAAAGTAAATGGTTAAAATGTTTTGTTATAATCCAGAAAGAAAAAAAGCAATATCTGCATTTTTGCAAGATTTCAGAAAACTACAATTGAAAAATAAAGTGTTCGAAATTGAAGAGTATTTCTTGTGTATTCTGTATTGTTCGTATCAAAGTTGTTTATGTTGTTATAACACACCATTTTGGTTTTAAATTTTGTATGTACATACATCTAGGGACTATTGACTAGACACAATTTTCCATGGACTCAATAGGATTGTGGGTCTGGTTTGATTGTCCCATCCTATAAGAAGCTTCAAATAATTTTTATATAAACTTCGATGCCACCTTTGATATATACATTGCAGATTCTCGCTACACAGGGTGAGATGAAAAAACTGCAACCAACTTAAGACTGCTGTCATTTCTGAACCAGTCGTCCAACAGCTGTTAAAATTATTCCAGTGAAATCTCATTATATTGCCTACAAGCGTACAAAAGCATTTTAGTGAGAATTTTCCAGAAAAAAAAAATTATTCGTGATGGAATTCAAGCGTGATAGTGTGATTTCTTTATATTTGGCTGGGAAACAGCAAGTGAATATCGTTAGAGCACTCCAAAATTTAAATCACTCGTTACCGTGATACTGGTAGCGTAGCCCGATGTCAAGGAAGTAGACGGAAGAAAACATTAACATCAGCAGAAATGGTTCGAAAAGTAAAGAAGCGACTTGATCGAAACCCGTGTCGCAGTGGCCGAAAAATGGCTTGTGAACTGAACATATCACAATATTCCATTCGGCAAATATTGAAAATAGAGCTCGGGGTAAAGCCATTGAAATTCCAAAAAGTGCAATAACTTACACCGCAACCGAAAGAAAATAGACTCAAAAGAGCGAAAGAGTTGCTTCGCTTGGCCGAAAGTGGTGAAATGCCGAATTTGGTTTTCTCCGCTCCGATGAGAAAACATTCGTTTTTCAGCATTTTCTAAACAAACAAAATGATCGTGTTTACTTGCCAAAGAGGTCGGCTGAAAATGTGCCTCCTCGGTTGGCCACCAGAACTCAAGCGCCGGCCTTGGTGATGGTATGGGCCGCCATAACAGCCGATGGTCGCTTTCCGCTCGTATTAATCGACCATGGCATCAGAATAAATGACCGATATTATCGCTATTATCTGGAGGGTGTATTATAGCCTTGGGCACGCAAACATTTTGGCCGCAGACCTTGGACATTCCAACAGGACTCAGCACCATCGCACTCGGCACGCGCCACTCCAGAATGGTTACAAAATGAGGTTCCTCGCTTCATTTCTAGCGCACAATGGCCACCAAAATCTTCGGATACCAATCCGTTTGACTATGGTCTCTGAAGTTTTTTGGAAAGCAAGGTTGGCACTAAAAAATAACAAAGTGTCGATCACCTCAAGCAAGCGCTTCACCGGGAATGGGCCAAAATACAGCAGAGCAACATTTGGGCAGAGTGTGACGGTTTCATTGGCCGTTTGAAGGCCATAATTCCTGCCAAAGGTGACCAAACAAATCTAAACTTATTCTAAAGTTTGATGCTATTTCCGACATTTTTCGCTTTCATTCAATAAAATTTAAAAAAAAAATTAAAATTATGGCGTTTGACTTTGTTACAGTTTTTTATCTCACCCTGTACTTTTCAAAATGGCACCAAATGCGCTGATATTCCTTGTAGTTCCGAAGATATTAGCAATAAAAATCATGAATTGAGATTTTCTCCAGCAATATTTGTGGAGAAGGCAACAGCAATTGGAGTGAACCCATATTTGGAGGGGATCCAATAGTGGTAGGAATATTGAAATTTAAAGTAGAAGGAGTTAAATGGTATACAAATATTACTAGGCGCGATATCTTTTCAAAGTTGGATATGAGAGATATTGTCTCAAAAAGACAATTATGCTGTACATTATCCGACCAGACAAACGAGAGAATTTCTAACAAAAATATGGAACTAAAATATACCCAGTGGTTAAAAAAATCTTCTTGAAACCCAAGTTAAAAAAAATTCTCGGATATTGGTTTGAGTACAAAAAAATACTGTATAAATTGTTATACTTAGTCCAATCAGATGTGTTTAGATCCCTACAAGTGTATCAATCTGATTAAAAAATCTAATTAGTGTAAACAGTGTTGTGTTGTGGAAAAGAGTTCTGTGAATATTTATATTGGTGCAAGTTAAATTGGAGAACTTTGTGTTTGGATTAGGGACAAAAGGAGTAGAAAGACAAAAATCACCCTCATATAGACAACGAATTGGTGTTCTCATAGAAGTCTTCTTCTTATAGAAGTCCAAAAAATGTTCTCATGGAAGGTCAAGAGGTAAAAAGGCCTTCTTTATAGAAAATGTTGGTGTATAATTTTAACTTACCACTGCTGACGGCAAACTCTTTGCCACTTAAGATGTGATACAATAAATTCTTCATTTCGAAGGGTGATAAATTCAGCAAATGTTCCGAAGCAGCTTCGCCATCACAGTTTAGGGTACGCGACAATTCCTTGGCCATAACTTGAATAATTAAGCCGACACGCAGACGTAACATTTCGTGGAAAAGTTGTGGCTCCGTGCGTATAAACATGGCAAGGTAGACCATCAACTCCTGGGTTAACATGGCCGTACTTTCGTCATCACCATAAGCCTGGAAAAAGGAAAGATATTTTGCATTAATGAATCAAAAATATTCATAAATAAATTAAGTTAATATTTTAATACTCACATCATGTATCAATTGCCTTAGATCCGCCTCGGGCAATGGCGCCGTAATGGTGTACTCATTATTTGGCGGCATACCAACGGTAACCTGTTTTTGTCGCACCAACAAATCGGTAACAGCCTTGGCTAGATCTTCAACACGTTTGCCCAACATACCGGCCGTGTGACGTACAAGCCCCCAGAGTTTTTGCTGGCAGGCCTTCTCATACAATCCCTTCAACAAATCGCGAACCGTAACGACGCGACCTTCTTCCAGCATTCCTTCAGATTGAGATATATTAATAGTAATGTTGGCATGATTATTGGGCGTAGATGAATTATTGGAGTAGGTCTTCTCATAGAAGACCAATAGGTCTTCTCATAGAAGACCAATAGGTCTTCTCATAGAAGACCAATAGGTCTTCTCATAGAAGACCAATAGGTCTTCTCATAGAAGACCAATAGGTCTTCTCATAGAAGACCAATAGGTCTTCTCATAGAAGACCAATAGGTCTTCTCATAGAAGACCAATAGGTCTTCTCATAGAAGACCAATAGGTCTTCTCATAGAAGACCAATAGGTCTTCTCATAGAAGACCAATAGGTCTTCTCATAGAAGACCAATAGGTCTTCTCATAGAAGACCAATAGGTCTTCTCATAGAAGACCAATAGGTCTTCTCATAGAAGACCAATAGGTCTTCTCATAGAAGACCAATAGGTCTTCTCATAGAAGACCAATAGGTCTTCTCATAGAAGACCAATAGGTCTTCTCATAGAAGACCAATAGGTCTTCTCATAGAAGACCAATAGGTCTTCTCATAGAAGACCAATAGTTATTCTCATGGAAGACCAATAGTTATTCTCATAGAAGAAGTGTCTTCTGTTTAGAAGACCAACAGGACTTTTTATGAAGACTAAGAGGACCAATAGGTCTTGTCATAGAAGACCAAAAGTTATTCTCATAGAAGAAGTGTCTTCTATTTAGAAGACCAACAGGACTTTTTATGAAGACTAAGAGGTCTTCTCATAAAAGACTAAGAGCTCTTCTCATAGAAGACCAATAGGTCTTCTCATAGAAGACCAATAGCTTTTCTCATAGAAGACCAACACACCGCTTCTTCAAGATGGATATTTTCTGCTCGGAATATATTTTATAACAACAGACTACACGAAAGTAAAACACACTTTCCTAAGTTAAAAATTTCAAAAAAACATTAAAAGTTTATTTCAAATTGTTTTTTTTTTTCTAAACTGCATTGACATCATCACGAAAGGTTTCTTCATGCAATTTACATTTTAAAATTGACTACTAACTATAATAATAATAAAAATGTTTGGACCCAATTGAATGTAAATGTAATAAAGCGGCAGAGCAGATATCATGTGATCACAACTATACTTTCAAAATAATACGAGTGAAAGAAAGTAGGTAGTTATGTTTTAAAACTGCTCTCCAGGCTACCAACAAGGTCTTTATATATATTCATTTGTTAACGCAAGAAACGAATTATGTATTACATTTCGAGTTGTAGCAACAAAGAACCAACAACAAATACAATCCAAACATTTCATATACATCCTACATCTATCTGATGTATAGCGGCGTTTCAGCAAAAAATAAAAAATAAAATAAATGATACGAAACAAAACTAAAACTAGAGAAAATAATTTAATTTCGACAACAATATTCTTCATGAAGCAAACGTATGTGGGGGATTAGCAAATGGCGCATTCCATTTCGCCATGTTTAGGAACACAATCCAAGACCAAAGCCACGGCCCGGGCCATATAGGTCATGGTACCATAACTACCGCTGGGAGCACTAAAACAAAACGAAAACATTTATTTTAATTGTCACTAGATTTCATTTAAATCCTCACCTATCATACAAATGTTGACAAATATATGCAGCACCACCGCACAACAACATACCCGATGCAGCCTGATGCTGTTGATTGCCATCCTTGGATTTGGCACAGCACAAAGTTGCATCGCCCTGCACCTTGCGTTGATCCTCCAAAAACAATTGATTGGCTTTGTGAACCAAATGTTCCACATAGATAATACCACCCAAATTAGGCACCATATTATGTTCGGTGACCAGTGTCAAGACCATTAGAGCCTCTACCACCAGCTGACGATATTCCGGTTGGGGTATTTGATTTAATGCCGTTTCAACTTCTAGAGCAAATTTCAACTCGCCCGGAGTCATTTCTTGTGTCAAACTTTGTTGCAGAATACGTCCTTCAATGGCTAAGCCTTGGCATTTTTCCAGTACACTCCAGACACGTGAATAGAAATCACGTGGTACACGATTTAAAGCGCCATCTAAACGTCGTCGTCTCAACCATTGTCCTTGTCGATCATCAATGGTGGCAATTATGGCATCCTCACCTTCGGGATCACCCAAACCAATTTGTGATTTTTTGCTAACGCGACTCGATTTGCAGCTAACAATGGAGAGATTACCGCGAGCAACTGTGGGGGGACGGGAGAGAATAAAAAAGAAAACACACAAGAATGTGTTAAAATATTGCGAAAAGATGCGCTCTTAGAAAATAAAACAAGTTTAGGTTCTTCTTTCGTAGAAGACCAAAAAGTCTTTTCATAGTAGATCAAAGTTCTCATAGAAGACCCATAGATATTCACATAGAAAACGATGAGGACATCTCGAAGGCCTTCTCCTTTCTTCTCATAGAAGTCGAAGAAATCTTCTCATTGAAGGCCAATAGATATTTCCGTAAAAGGCCTAGATGTATTCTCGTGGTCCAAAAAGACTTCTCATAGAATGTCAAAAGGACTTCTCATAGAAGGCCAAGAGGTATTCTCGTAGAAGACGAAGAGGTCTTCTCACTTAGACCAATAGGTCTTTTCATAGGAGCCAAAGAGGTCTTTCCATAGAAGGCCAGAAGGTCTTCTAAAAGAAGGCCAAGAAGTCTTCTCATAGAAGAGCAAGAAGTCTTCTCATAGAAGGCCAAGAGGTCTTTTCATAAAAGGCCAAGAGGTCTTCTCAAAGAAGTTCAAGAAGCCTTTTTATAGAAGGCCAAGAGGTCTTCTCATAAAAGGCCAAAAGGTCTTTTCAAAGAACACCAACAGGTCTTCTTATAGAAGACCAAAAGGTCTTGGTCTTCTCATTGAAGACGATTTGGTCTTCTCATAGAAGACGATTTGGTCTTCTCATAGAAGACGATTTGGTCTTCTCGTAGAAGACGATTTGGTCTTCTCGTAGAAGACGATTTGGTCTTCTCGTAGAAGACGATTTGGTCTTCTCGTAGAAGACGATTTGGTCTTCTCGTAGAAGACGATTTGGTCTTGTCATAGAAGACGAATTGGTCTTCTCAAAGAAGACGAATTGGTCTTCTCATTGAAGACGATTTGGTCTTCTCGTAGAAGACGAATTGGTCTTCTCATAGAAGACGAATTGGTCTTCTCATAGAAGACGAATTGGTCTTCTCATAGAAGACGAATTAGTCTTCTCGTAGAAGTCGAATTGGTCTTCTCATGGAAGATGAGTTGGTCTTCTCATAGAAGACGATTTGGTCTTATCTTAAAAGGCGAATTGGTCTTCTTATAGAAGTCCAAAAAATATTCTCATGGAAGGTCAAGAGGTAACAAGGCCTTTTTGTAGAAAATGTTGGTGTATCATTTTAACTTACCACTGCTGACGGCAAACTCCTTGCCACTTAAAATGTGATACAATAAATTCTTCATTTCAAAGGGTGATAAATTCAACAAATGTTCCGAAGCAGCTTCGCCATCACAGTTTAGGGTACGAGACAATTCCTTGGCCATAACTTGAATAATTAAGCCGACACGCAGACGTAACATTTCGTGGAAAAGTTGTGGTTCCGTGCGAATAAACATGGCAAGGTAGACCATCAACTCCTGGGTTAACATAGACGTACTTTCGTCATCGCCATAAGCCTGGCAAAAAGGAAAGATATTTTGCATTAATGAATCAAAAATATTCTTAAGCTAAGTCTATTCTTAGAAAGGAACGTAAAAAATATTATGAACAAATTTTCAATGGACTAAATGCTACTCATCTCTGGAGACAACTTCATGCCGGTGGTATCGTTGACAATGACGTCAACCTCTCAACTGACTTTGATGTTAATGTTTTGAATGAATATTTTACTCAAGAAAATGGTGTTGGCAATGTTATTGTTGATTTTCCAGATATTGATAGACAATGTCATACATTTTCTTTTAATTGTGTTTTCGAGATAGATGTATTTGAAGCCTTTCAGCAGGTCAAATCGAAGTCTGTAGGTGTTGATGGAGTACCCATTAAATTTTTGAAATTAATCTATCCATATATTTCTAGACATTTCACCTATATTTTTAATACAATGTTTACAACATCGACCTTCCCGAATGACTGGAAAATTGCTAGGGTTTTCCCTATTTCCAAAAATAAAGGAAGGAACACTATTGAGAATTTGAGACCTATAAGTATACTACCGTCGCTTTCTAAAGTTGCCGAACATCTCATAAGGCTGCAGATTCAATCATTTATAGATGACAATAAATTTTTGATTAATTATCAATATGGATTTAGGCGTGGTCTCAGCACTACTTCACTTTTAGTAGACTTAACTGACTTGATTAGAGAGACAATTGATGGACGTGATAGTGGTGTTCTTGTTGCGCTGGATATTTCGAAAGCATTCGATTGTGTGGATCATTCAATGCTGATTGAGAAACTGTTCTCATTATATGCATTTGACAGTAATTCTTGTAAATTAATTGCTTCATATTTATCTGGACGTTCTCAATATGTTTCATATAATGGCGAGGCATCCAGCTTACGTAATATTTACAGCGGGGTACCTCAAGGTTCAATTTTAGGTCCGCTTCTTTTTGTTTTATATGTCAATGACATTAGTAGCATTCTAACTAATTGCGACTGTCATCCGTTTATGTATGCGGACGACATTCATTTATTTTTTAAAGGTCAATCAGACTTTCAACTAGAGAATACCATAAATACAACATTAGGTAATATTTCACGTTGGTTGAGAAATAATAATCTAGTAGTAAATGTTTCTAAGACAAAAGCAATGACATTTGGTTCACCTTGCCGACTGAATAGCGGTATTAATATACAGGTTAATGGTGTAGCGGTGGATTTTGTTGACCGCATAAATTGTTTAGGTGTTGTTCTTGATGCCAAGCTTGATTTTTCTTTGCATATTGATGCACTGTACCCCAAAGTTATAAATATGCTCCGAAAATTACACTCAACTGATTTCTATTTGCCCTTATTTGTAAAGAGAAATCTTGCTCATTCTATGTTATTTTCGGTAATTTCCTACTGTATTGAAGTGATTTCTGGTACAACACATGAATATTTAATGAAATTAGAAAAACTTTTTAACATCATTGTAAGATATGTTTATAATTTGCGTCGTTTTGACCATATTTCTGCGCATGCAGTCCTCTTTTTAGGAGTGTCATTCTCTACTTTTGTTAAACAACGCGTGGTTTCATTTCTATATAAATGTATCTGTTTAAATCTTCCTGGTTTTCAGCGAGATCGGCTAGTGTTCTCTCGGTCTACTAGGAATACGCAAATAATTTTCCCTCATTTTTCTACGTCTCTATATGAAAGATCTTTCATAGTTCGTTCCGCACGAATCTGGAATCAGCTTCCAGCTGAGCTACGACAATTCTCGTTTTCCCGCGGTGTTTTTCGCCGCATGTTTGAAAACTTTGTAGAGGCAAATGGAGGTTAACAATTTGTTTGTTAATGATATTGACGATACTGTATCGTTTGATTAAATATTGTTTTTTTTTTATTACCAGCAATAGACTTAAATTTATTTTCATTGGCTGGGGAGCCTTTTTGTCCATATTTTACATATGATTTCTTAGGTTACTTTAAGATACACTATGTAATATTTTTAATATGTTTTTTTTTTATTTTGGAGTACACTTTTGTAGTTTTGATAGTTGTGATACTTATTGGCCTAATGGCTTTTTCATTGCAACATATAAATAAATAAATGAAATGAAATGAAATAAATTAAGTTAATATTTCAAAACTCACATCATGTATCAATTGCCTTAGATCCGCCTCGGGCAATGGCGCCGTAATGGTGTACTCATTATTTGGCGGCATACCAACGGTAACCTGTTTTTGTCGCACCAACAAATCGGTAACAGCCTTGGCCAGATCTTCAACTCGTTTGCCCAACATACCGGCCGTGTGACGTACAAGGCCCCAGAGCTTTTGCTGGCAGGCCTTCTCATACAATCCTTTCAACAAATCGCGAACCGTAACGACGCGACCTTCTTCCAGCATTCCTTCAGATTGAGATATATTAATAGTAATGTTGGCATGATTATTGGGCGTAGATGAATTATTGGAGTTGGAACCATCAATGACCACCGTTGGTGGCAGGGGAGGCTTGGCAAATAGGGGACTTTTTAAAGCAGATTCGGAATCAAGAATTTCATCCACGAGTGCGCAATCGATTTCTTTTTTATTTTTTTGGTTTATGTTAATATATTTAAATTTAGATTTGCATGCAGAAAAAACACATTTCCCCAAATTTGTTTTTATTTTATTAAATGATGACGATGAAAACAAATGCATTGTTTTTTTTTAATAAATAAAAGCGTTAACATAGAAGTAATGCCATAGTTGAGAGAAAAACCATCAAAATATTTCAAAAAAAGTATAAATGTGCGCAGTTTTTTTATTGAAAAAATATGGACGATGAAAATAATTGTGGTAGTATGAAAGAGAAGAAAGAAAGTAAATGGTTAAAATGTTTTGTTATAATCCAGAAAGAAAAAAAGCAATATCTGCATTTTTGCAAGATTTCAGAAAACTACAATTGAAAAATAAAGTGTTCGAAATTGAAGAGTATTTCTTGTGTATTCTGTATTGTTCGTATCAAAGTTGTTTATGTTGTTATAACACACCATTTTGGTTTTAAATTTTGTATGTACATACATCTAGGGACTATTGACTAGACACAATTTTCCATGGACTCAATAGGATTGTGGGTCTGGTTTGATTGTCCCATCCTATAAGAAGCTTCAAATAATTTTTATATAAACTTCGATGCCACCTTTGATATATACATTGCAGATTCTCGCTACACAGGGTGAGATGAAAAAACTGCAACCAACTTAAGACTGCTGTCATTTCTGAACCAGTCGTCCAACAGCTGTTAAAATTATTCCAGTGAAATCTCATTATATTGCCTACAAGCGTACAAAAGCATTTTAGTGAGAATTTTCCAGAAAAAAAAAATTATTCGTGATGGAATTCAAGCGTGATAGTGTGATTTCTTTATATTTGGCTGGGAAACAGCAAGTGAATATCGTTAGAGCACTCCAAAATTTAAATCACTCGTTACCGTGATACTGGTAGCGTAGCCCGATGTCAAGGAAGTAGACGGAAGAAAACATTAACATCAGCAGAAATGGTTCGAAAAGTAAAGAAGCGACTTGATCGAAACCCGTGTCGCAGTGGCCGAAAAATGGCTTGTGAACTGAACATATCACAATATTCCATTCGGCAAATATTGAAAATAGAGCTCGGGGTAAAGCCATTGAAATTCCAAAAAGTGCAATAACTTACACCGCAACCGAAAGAAAATAGACTCAAAAGAGCGAAAGAGTTGCTTCGCTTGGCCGAAAGTGGTGAAATGCCGAATTTGGTTTTCTCCGCTCCGATGAGAAAACATTCGTTTTTCAGCATTTTCTAAACAAACAAAATGATCGTGTTTACTTGCCAAAGAGGTCGGCTGAAAATGTGCCTCCTCGGTTGGCCACCAGAACTCAAGCGCCGGCCTTGGTGATGGTATGGGCCGCCATAACAGCCGATGGTCGCTTTCCGCTCGTATTAATCGACCATGGCATCAGAATAAATGACCGATATTATCGCTATTATCTGGAGGGTGTATTATAGCCTTGGGCACGCAAACATTTTGGCCGCAGACCTTGGACATTCCAACAGGACTCAGCACCATCGCACTCGGCACGCGCCACTCCAGAATGGTTACAAAATGAGGTTCCTCGCTTCATTTCTAGCGCACAATGGCCACCAAAATCTTCGGATACCAATCCGTTTGACTATGGTCTCTGAAGTTTTTTGGAAAGCAAGGTTGGCACTAAAAAATAACAAAGTGTCGATCACCTCAAGCAAGCGCTTCACCGGGAATGGGCCAAAATACAGCAGAGCAACATTTGGGCAGAGTGTGACGGTTTCATTGGCCGTTTGAAGGCCATAATTCCTGCCAAAGGTGACCAAACAAATCTAAACTTATTCTAAAGTTTGATGCTATTTCCGACATTTTTCGCTTTCATTCAATAAAATTTAAAAAAAAAATTAAAATTATGGCGTTTGACTTTGTTACAGTTTTTTATCTCACCCTGTACTTTTCAAAATGGCACCAAATGCGCTGATATTCCTTGTAGTTCCGAAGATATTAGCAATAAAAATCATGAATTGAGATTTTCTCCAGCAATATTTGTGGAGAAGGCAACAGCAATTGGAGTGAACCCATATTTGGAGGGGATCCAATAGTGGTAGGAATATTGAAATTTAAAGTAGAAGGAGTTAAATGGTATACAAATATTACTAGGCGCGATATCTTTTCAAAGTTGGATATGAGAGATATTGTCTCAAAAAGACAATTATGCTGTACATTATCCGACCAGACAAACGAGAGAATTTCTAACAAAAATATGGAACTAAAATATACCCAGTGGTTAAAAAAATCTTCTTGAAACCCAAGTTAAAAAAAATTCTCGGATATTGGTTTGAGTACAAAAAAATACTGTATAAATTGTTATACTTAGTCCAATCAGATGTGTTTAGATCCCTACAAGTGTATCAATCTGATTAAAAAATCTAATTAGTGTAAACAGTGTTGTGTTGTGGAAAAGAGTTCTGTGAATATTTATATTGGTGCAAGTTAAATTGGAGAACTTTGTGTTTGGATTAGGGACAAAAGGAGTAGAAAGACAAAAATCACCCTCATATAGACAACAACAAAGAACAAATTAACCACAAAAGAAAAAATATAACAAATAACACACCCAATTACATGAATATATACCCGATCTAGCTTTAGTGCATTTTACGTTTCGTTTTGTGCATGTGGATTTTGGGAAAGGTTGGATGGGTGTGTGGTTGGTTGGGTTTTCTTTTGGAATATTGACAATAAGTTGCCATCCGAAGATGATGTGGCAACATTAAAACTTACCCGGTGACGAAGTAGAAGATGTTTTATTTTTAAGTCCTAAGCCGGCTAATAAACAAATTTTCAATGGTTTTGATTTACAAAAGATTAATGAAGAAGCATTAAAAACATTAACATATTAAACAATTTAAGGGGATTTAAGAGGAATTTTTAACAATAGATACATACATATATACATAAATATAAACAATAAATGTTATGTAATGTTTGTGTATAAGGTATGTGTGTTTGGTAGTTTGACATAACAATGGACAGGACAAAAGAGGAGTATGAATAGTGTGGCTGTTGTGGGAAATGGGGGAGGCAGTTGGTGTATATACTGAGATTTAATGTTGTAAGTAAACGTGTTTTTTTGTTTTTGTTATTTTAAATTTGTTTCTAGTGTTATTGTAAATATAGTCTTTAAATATTTTCATAATTTGAGATTTCAACATACCTGTATTAAAGTCCAATCCTTGGGTATCCACTAAATATTGTAAAATATCACCTTGTTCTTCCAGATTTTCAGTTTCCCTTAACATTGCAATTAACTCCTCAACCTCTGTGTCGGCGAAATTGGTATCGGTACGATGACGTTGTACAAGAATTTTGGGAACATTTTGTACTGAATTTTAGTATTTGGTTTTCATTTTTTTTTTTGTTTTTGTATAATTTTGCAGCGGATGAACACACACACACGGAAATCAAAACGAAAATCGTAATAATGTGTTGCGTACGAACGAACGTAAGATTGTGCGTTGTGATAACGGAAAATCATATGAAAATAAAAATAAATGAAAATAAAAAATAAAATAAAAACAAATAATACTAGAACACACTATACACAAATTATTTATGACAAATAATAAAAGCGGAAAAAGGTGTCAAAATTTGCCTCAAAAATGCTGTCCATATTCTCTGTAACGAAATTTCCCATATGTTTTTCTCTATGACGAACGAAAACTAATTTCGTCTGCATCGAAACTTTTGAAAGACAATGTTGTATGTAATATAATTTAGGGCCTAAACCATTGAGGGATTCTACTGAAAACTTAAGGAAAAATAATTAACTACACCGTTTTCATAATTAAGAATCTAAGAATTTTGGAATTTGAATTAGTTCAGTTAGCGGGCGAATATTCTCTACTTAACAACCTGCCTAATCATCAATCCTACAAAAAACATAATTATGAATTGTAACCTCTAAGAAGATGGAGAGGTTTTATGAGCCAATCAGTCCTCAATGTACTAGGCCTTTTTTTTAAAGCTACAGACAACTCTGCAAGGCTAATTTGCCGAAATGCCGAAAAAGGGTTTCCCGCTGGCCCGACTATATGATACCTTCCACCACTGTGCACATTTAGTAAAGTTCCAGTAATAAAAGAATTTATTCGATTCTGAATCGATTTTCACTAAATTCGACGGAGACATTTTATTTTTTTTAAATAAAATAACATTGCTATAGAATACATGAGAAAGATTTTGTTAAGAATATATGTATCGAAGTCGAGTTCCACAAAATGGAAACGTACGTCCCGAAATTCAGTCCAACATTTACATGTGAATAAATCTTTTGTGTCTCGTACCATCTTTTGTGTTTTGTAGCCCGACGTCAAGGAAGTGGACGGAAGAAAGCAGCAGCATCAGCAGAAGTGGTTAAAAAAATAAAGAAGCGACTTGATCGAAACCCACGTTGCAGTTGCCGAAAAATGGCTCGTGAGCTGAACATATCGCAATATTCCATTCGGCAAATATTGAACAACGACCTCGGGGTAAAGCCATTGAAATTCCAAAAGTGCAAGAACTTACACCGCAACAGAAAGAAAATAGTCTCAAAAGAGCTAAAAAATTACTTCGCTTAGCCGAAAGTGGTGAACTGCCGAATTTGGTTTTCTCCGATGAGAAAACATTCGTTGTCCAGCAGTTTGTAAACAAACAAAATTATATGTTTACTTGAAGCTTCGGTTGGTCACCCCAACTCAAGCGTCGGCCATGGTGATGGTGTGGGCCGTCATAACAGCCGATGGTCACTCTCCGCTCGTATTAAAGCCTTGGGCACGCAAACATTTTGGCCACAGATTTTGGACATTCCAACAGGACTAGCACCATCGCACTCAGCTCGCGCCAACCAAGAATGTTTACAAGATGAGGTTCCTTGCTTCATTTCCAGCGCACAATGGTCATTAAAATCTCCGTTGGACTATTGTGTCTAGAGTATTTTGGAAAGCAAGGTTGGCACTAAAAAATACAAAGTGTCGATCACCTCAAGCAAGCGCTTCGCTGGGAATGGGCCAAAATAACGCAGAGCAACATTCGCGTAGCGTGTGACGGTTTCATTGGCCGTTTGAAGGTCATAATTATAATTTAAAATCGGTTGAAGATACATATATATGGGAGCTATATCCAAATCTGAACCGATCGATAAAATTTGGCAGAAGTATTTCTGGGCTGTATCTGATATATGATACTAAATATCATTGTTGTCAAATGCATATTACGAATGTAAGGGACTTAAACACCAAATCGGATGAATCATATATATGGGAACTATATCTATATATATCTGAACCGATTTTCACCAAATTTCATGTACTTCCTTCTAAATTGCATTCGGTAGGGTTCGTCCTTGGCCCAAACAAATATTGTTTGAAAATTTTCATCTCAATCGGATAATAAATGCGACCTGCATTTTATTCACAAGAATACATGGAGAGTCGGACTTACATACATAAATCGACTCAGAAAGTGTTCAATAAATATACTCAAACGTAACTAAGGGTCTATCTCGCTTCCTTCTCCAACAAATGCACAAAGATATAATACCCTTACCACAATGTGGTGTAGGGTATAAAAAATCAGATCTGGGGGAGGAAGAAACAAGATTACACTGAGAAATTGGGTTTAAATGTATAGTTTTTGGAACCCTTCATGACCTATGCACTAGGTAACTGTGTTAACTAAAAATAAATAAATAAAAAATTGTCAAAAGGGTCTAATCGAGTAATTGTAATCTTTTCCTTAATAGTAAGTCACAAAGTGCTGACCGCGATTATAAAATAATGCAAAATAAAATGAAAAAGGAAATGATCTAAAAACACCCTAATTCATAGTTTCTCAAAAAAACTCACTGCGTTTCTCCATCGACGAACGGCTGTGATTTATATCAATGGGATAGATATTTTCCCGAATCAAAACATCCGAACTGGTAGTGTTACTGGGAGCTTCCTCGGGTGTTATGGCAAATGTGCTGGCGTGAGCCTGTTTATTTGCCTGCAACCAGGGTGGGGCAATTATTGAAGATAAACGTCTTTCGGTCAATGGAGTCGGTCCCTCCATGCCCAGGGTATCCGCTACAAAAATAACAATTAATTAAATTTTAAAATATATATTAGTATTTTTTCTTCTTCCCCTTACAATCAACATTAATTGAGCGTGTTTTCTTAATGGCACCCTTGCATGACATACGCCTGCGCAGTTGTCGTGGCCTCAACTGGCCAGCTCTTAAGTTCATCATATTACGATGACTAAACGAACGCAACAAATGTTCATCCAAATAGGTTTGAACATCCGGATGTAAACGATCTGGATAGCCGTCTTCGGTACTGCCCAAGAAACTTAGATCCGTAATGGCTGAGGTGTTGAGGAAATCCTTTAGATTACCCAACATCACACGTGTGCCGTTAATATAGCCAGATTTTAATTTACGCATTGTCTGAATCATGGCCAAGGGTATTTTGTCTTGGTCTAAATTTTGGAAAACAAAAACAAAGTAATTAAAAATAATCAAATATATAATGTGGATTTATTGTTACTCAATTTAGAGTACATTGCATGCAAGTTTTTTTTTCGGTATTAAAATTTATTACAACATGTACAGGCTGGGTTAGTGACAAAGCTACTACTAATATACCCTTTACAGAAAATAGGCCCAACAATTGCAAAGCTTTAGAAAAAAACCCATTTCCAAGTGGACACACATAAGCAACTAAAATGTTTCTTCATTTCTGTGGTGTTATTTTCTGACTAATTTTTTGAGTTATCGACAAAAAATTGGAAAATTAAAATGATTATAATTTTGGTAATTGACGAAATTATTGGCAAGTTAACAAGTTAATAATGGTACTAATGGTGCCAACTTTAATTTAGACTTTTCATTCATAATTTTGTGTTTCAATTTTACCTTTATGTGTCGATAACTCTAAAAAATGAACTCGAGACTCCCACTAATGTTAGGGAATGACATATATTTATAATTCCCTAAAGAAAAGCTCGTGTTTATTGTTTGACAGTCACAAAAAGACTTAAACTCAGTATTGGGCCAAAGAATAACATTGTTAACAACGTGTAAGGCTCATTTCTGGATCGACAGTATGTGAAGTATACTAATTACGATATTTATAAGAAGCCATCTAAATCATGATTTCGAAAAAAAAATCCACTAAGATTAGGGATTCCATTCCATAGTCATATGTTGTTTCAAATCATACGTATACGAATGAAAAATATATAAATTAATCAAAATATCCATTTAAGTGGTATTCCTTAAAATAGAAATCAAACAGACTTGTAATTTGTTTAAATAAAATCCTGTCTATTTCTTTTCATCCCAAACATGTATCTCTTACTCTATGTTAATAACGAACTATTTACAAATCACAAATTTACAAATTTATATAAAATTCATGCTGATCAAACATACCATAAAATAATTAAACTTATTATAAAATAATAACAACAACAAAAGCTCAATATAAACATTAACTTGTTTGAGGCACATATAAAGAGAAGAAGAAGCTAAAGCAAATAATAATAATAAAAGTTATTAATTATTGAGAAAATAAAAAAATGTATAATAGGCTGACTAGAAATTTTGTGAGTGCTTCGGGAACGATATTGAAGATTATATGTTTTGTTATTTTATGGATTTATTAGGATTATTCGTAATTTTTCTTCTTTTTCAATTTAATTGTAACATTTATTTATTTCTTGAATTTATTTAGCTGCAAGTTAAGACTTGGTTTAAATTGAAAATCACTCCCAAATGTTGTATCAATTGTAAAGTGCATGCATTATTTTATTAAAAATTTGGATATGATAATTATGATATTCAATTGTACCCACAAACTAATTCAATCTTAAAATTGTTATTTTTATTAGTAATTAAAAATGTGTATTTTCGAGTTATGCAATGATGAATCTATTGAGGAAAATATTCTTCTGACTGACAAAGAGACTTCTAACGGCCATAAACATAAAAGGTCGAATTAAAGATGTAAAGAGGATATAAACGCGACTTTTTAGGGGCAAGGAGAAAAATTATTGTTGTTTAATTTTCTTTATTTTTTAAATAATTTTAGAAAAAAAATTTGGTCCGGGAAGGCTATGTAAAAATATTCCTTTAGAGTCCACAATTTTTCCCTAGGAGGTCCATTCAAAATATTCCTGAAAAAGTCATAGTTTTTTGATTAGGAGGCCCTTGAAAAAATATTTCGCTAAAATCACGATTTTGATCCAAGAAGGCTTTAGAAAAAGTATTAAAAAATAAACATGATTTTCTTTCAGGAAGATCTTGTATTTTTTATACCCTCCACCTTGAAAATGAAATGGAGGAAATATTAAATTTGTCATTCCGTAACATGTTTGAATCCAGGTAAATTTGTATAAAAATTTTTTCTTCACCCAAAGGTGGAGGTTTTTTTTAATTGTTTATTTGTTAAAATTTTACGATTTCCAGTTCCCATTCCCCATTTATGAGAGTTGTAATTATTCAATTTTGTGATCCGTTGTGTGAGGTTGTACGAAACATCTAATCTTCATACTCAAGAATGAAAACGTCATTGAAAATATTTTCTTAAAATTCGACGATTTTCGGTGGGAAAGTCTTGAAAATATTTTTTTTTAATACCTTAAATGAGATTTAAGGTTAAGATTTAAAAAATCTATAATTTTTTTGGCAAGGAGGTTCTTGAAAAAAATATTCTTAAAAATTCACGATTTCTTACAGGAAAATCCTTGAAAAAAGTTTTCTTTAAAATGTAAGATTTTTGGTAATAATATCCTTGAAAAATGTTCTTATCATATCCCCAATAACATTCTTAAGAAAAATCTCCATAACACATTCTTGATAACATTTTAAAAAATACACGATTTTCGGTCGGGAGGTCCTTGAATTTTTTTTTTAAACCGGCAATTTCGCTTGAAAATCTTTATTTTAAATTCTCGATTTTTTGAGGTCCATTAAAAAATCACAATTTTCAACAGGCCCTCGAAAATGCATGATTTTTGCCCAGGAAGTTCCTGGAAAATACTTGAAATATATCTTAAAAATCTACTATTGTCGTTAAGATGATACTCGAAAAGTCTTTTTCAAATAATTCTCAAAAAGTCCACGATTTTCGGTCAGAAAGTTTTTGAAAAATGTTCCGATAAATACACGAGTTTAAAAAATATCCTCAAAAATACATGATTTTCCGTACGGAATGGTTTATGGCCTAAAAACAAAAAAATCGAGATTTTCGGTCAGAAAAAAATACGTTTTCGGGCCAAAAAATCTCAATTTTCGTTCAGAGGGTTTTTAAAAATAATTTTCTGTTAAATCTACGAGACTTCAGTTCATCAACACAAAATTAATTTAAATATTAGTTTTAAATTAGCTTGAAAATCTCAAAAATACTTTAGTTCAAAAGACAGACACTATGTGACCCATAAAGGTATATGGCTGGCTTTTTCTTTTCGATATTTCCGTGGACAAAAACAACAAATTTAAAATCTTTAATAAAACAAAATTATACCCAAAAATATATATCACTATAATTAAAAATGAAGTTATATAGATTATATTATATCGTTCCCGAAACACAATAAATTTGAATATAAATACAAAAATAGTTAATAGTGTAAGTATGCCAGGGTGAGTGCATTGAGTGTAAATAGTTTTTGTATGCATGATGTTGTGTTGTGTATTGAATTTATATGGTGGAGGGTTGTGGGAAGTAATTACCTAGCATATAATGTGTTGCCATTAAAGTTATGGTAGGTCTTCCTAACATATGACGCCAATTATTTGTTAGGAAAGCTAAATTGGTGGTGAAATTACTTGCGAGCAAGTCAGGATCACGTGTAGTATAATATTCTTCATAATCGATATGCTGGATTAAAATTAATATATATTAAATTAATGGTAAATTGAATGATTTCGAATTCAGATAGCAGATAGGGAATGGATTTCTGATCTTTTTTTTTTTGGTAAAATAAAATAAAACATACATGAAATAAGGAGCATATTCAAAACCATGAAACATATCATCATGATAATTTTCATTATAAATATAAATTTCATAATTATTTGTATGTTCCTAATCCTCTTTTTTTATGAAATACGAAAGGGGCTATATTTTTAGAGTGTAGAGTAAAACTTTTCTAATTTTGAATTGTTTAAATGATAGTCGTGTGCTTATGAGAGAAGAAACTACAAATGTTAATGTGGACACAAAAGCAAGTTTTGTAAAAGCCCAATTAGAGTAGAAGATACATAGAAGATACAAGAGACAATTTTGAAAATCGAAACATTTTTTGTGTGAAATAACTCAATTGAATTAAGACCACTTCCCGATCTTAATTTTACATTAGTTATTTATTCATACCAAAAAATAAATAAATTTTGTCTTATTTCTCTAAAAAGATTCGAAAACAAATTCAATTGAATTAACACAAAATCCTTATTTAACATAAATTTTGTTAAAAAATAAATAATATACAGGGTGAGATAAAAAAAACTGCAACAAAGTCAAACGACATAATTTTAACTTTTTTTTAATTTCATTGAATGAAAGATAAAAATTTCGGAAATAGTATCAAATTTTAGAATAAGTTTAGATTTTTTCGAATCGATCACCTTTGGCACGAATTATGCCCTTCAAACGGCCAATGAAACCGTCACACGCTGCCCGAATGTTGCTTTGCGGTATTTTAGTCCATTCCAGGCGAAGCACTTGCTTGAAGTGATCGACACTTTGGTATTTTTTAGGGCCAACCTTACTTTCCAAAATACTCCAGACACAATAGTCCAACGGATTGGTATCCGGACATTTTGGTGGCCATTGTGAGCTGGAAATGAAGCGAGGAACTTCATTTTGTAACCATTCTTGGGTGGCGCGTGCTGAGTGCGATGGTGCTGCGTCCTGTTGGAAGGTGCAAGGTCTGCGGCCAAAATGTTGGCGTGCCCAGGCTTTATTACACCCTCCAGAATATTTTCGCGGTAATGTTCAGCATTTATTCTGATGCCACGGTCGATTAATACGATCGGAGAGCGACCATCGGCTGAAACCAAATTCGGCAGTTCACCACTTTCGGCCAAGCGAAGCAACTCTTTAGCTCTTTTGCGGTGTAAGTTCTTGCACTTTTTAGAATTTCAATGGCTGAGCTCAGTTTTCAATATTTGCCGAATGGATTATTGCGATATGTTCAGCACACGAGCCATTTTTCGGTCATTGCGACGCGGGTTTCGATCGAGTCGTTTCTTTACTTTTCGAACCATTTCTGCTGATGTTGCTGTTTTCTTCCGTTCACTTCCTTGACGTCGGACTAGGCTACCAGTATCACGGTAACAGGCGATGGTACGAGACTCCAAAGATTTATTCACATTTAAATGCTGGAGTGCTTTAACGATAGTCAAAAGTGGTTTTCCAGGCAAATATTAAGAAATCACACTCTCACGCTTCAATTCCATCACGAATAACTTTTTTTCTGAAAAATTCTCACCAAAATGCTTTTGTACGCTTGTAAGGAATATAGTGAGCTGTCACTGGAATAAATTTAACAGCTGTCGGACGAGTGGCTTAGAAATGACAGCAGTTTGAAATTGGTTGCAGTTTTTTCATCTCACCCTGATTAATTTTTTTTATTATTTTAGTAAGTCGGATTATAAAAAATAGCACTTAATACCAAAAAAAATATTAATTTATAAGAACACCTCAAAAATGTTTCGATTTTATTTTAAATTTAATCACAAAATTTAGTTGTTGTTTTTTTTTAAACACCAAAACCAATTTGAAAAGACCCAATTTAAAAATAGCAAAAACTCGCTTTTGTACACAAAACAGAAAAAATGCCAAAGAAACATAAAGTAAATCATACGAGAAATTATAAAAAAAGAACGCATCCCTTGCAAAATACAATTAATGGAAAAGTTTTCCATGTTTATCGTACAAATGCATACAATTATTAGAATTTAAAAAAAAAGAAATGAAAATTGCCAAAAAATAAAACAGACCTAAATGAATCTTTTTCAAAACTAATGTAACCAAGGGACGTCCAAGCAAATCCCAAGCTGATTTAAGAAAATTTATTTCGCCTTTTAGAATATCAATCATTAATTCATAATCGGAGGCGATATAAAAACGTGATAAGTCGACAAACTAGAGGGGGTTTGAGAGAAAGAGTGTGTTTGTTTTTTGAGATTGAAATTAAAAAGGGAATTAAAAAAATCAAATTAAATAAAATCTCATTTGAAATAAAAAAATACAATGTAATAATATAAAAAATGTAAACTTACCTGCGGTGTAAAGGCAAATATTCTATCTTTCAATGAGTACAATTTACTTGTACTCAAGATACCCACATCACGTGATTTACGACCTGTCAATCCCAATTTACGATTTCTACCCAAATATGTATACAAATGGCTAAGAACACGGGCCGGTTGCACCTCGATGGGAGCCACTTCTGCAATGGTTTGCACGTGCAAGTCCGACTCGGCCAATTTATCGCGAATTTCATTGTCTTCAGCAATGATGACAACCTGCACCACAACATCTGGTTTCTTTTGAGCACCCAAACGACGATTTAGGGGATCCAATTCACCAACAGCTAAGAAACCCTATAATAGAAATGAATTAAATTGTGAATTCCGATTTTTATTCATATCTTTGTTACATACCTCTTGCAATAGTCTTCCCAAAATAAACAACGATTGTCCCCATAAAAATGGACAACGACCAACAACTTCTCTGGGCGCAGATCCAGGATGTTTGTACTCTTGAGCCACAGCATCGGGTGGAACCGCATAACTTTCAGGTATCAATAGAATTCCATCATCGCCTCGTACCATTATTTGCTGCAAAAAAATAATTAAATTCAAATTTTAAACTATCAATTGCAGAACACAATTTTTCGATAAAAAAAAGTGGATCTCCAACTAACTTTCCAAGCTTATTTGGCTTAAATTTTTGCACTAGCTCTATTTGAATAGCCTCACAACTAAATTCTTCCCTCTGTTTCTGTTCTCTCTGTTTTTATGGTTTCATTTGCAGGTGTCTCTCCACAAACATTCACTATTATACAAAAAATCAAATTAAACTCACCTCCAAACGATCAGCGTACTCCTTAACGGACATTTTGTCATTTTGAAATGCATGAAACAATATCAAATAACAATAGAACAACGGCCATTCACATTCAATATTCTCGAACATACGCAACTCCCAACGCTCGTAGTACAAACGACTGGGATCCTCTTTGGGTGTACGATAGCCATCGCGTAGAAAACGTTTACAACCATATTTACCCTGTAAACGTTGCAAAATAGCATCTTTGGTATTGCGTATCAACTGTGGATCGTCGACAGCAAACGCAGGGAATCCAATGACACACAACAGACCCGAATCCAATTCCTTGCTGTTCGATTCACGCGGTAACATTGATTGTAATACAGCTTGACACTTGTGAGCCTCATCGGCCAGAACATGGATAACACTGGCCGGTCCACCACGGGCACCAAACAAATCCAATTCATTCATAGCTTCTAGCGCGGCCTTAGCCATACCAATTGAACTGGCATTAAGTTCGGGTTCACCATGATTTGTTTTATCACCCCTCTCCCATATACCATAGTCGGGGATACAATATGCCGACTCAATGTAAAATACTAAATTCTGTATAAAGGACACTTCGTCCAATGAGAATACAATTTGCAAACCAGATGCTGTCATCTGGGCCAAAATCAAAAGATACAATGAAACAGCATCAATCTGCAAATGTCCCCATTCAGCATCGCCGACAACGGGTTGGCCATTGGTGCTGGAGTACTTGGCATGCAAAGAATCCAAGGGATTCTGTGTCATTTTGAATCGTTCAACTTTATCCTTTTGATTCATCATGGCCATTAGGAGACCACGCATTAGCTTAACACAGCTTTGTTCCAGCTCATAACATTTGGCACGATCTTCATCTTGATCGGCAATTTTTTTATAAGCCATTGACAAGCCCCACACGGCCAGTATACAATACACATTATCTCTGATCCAGGCATGAGAATTTACATTCGATGCGGGAAACAATCCTGTAACTGGTTCCTGATGGGACATAATCAGGCGATGCACCACGCGCTGATAGTAGTCCAGGCGAACGCCTGAATTGCTGCGCGAACGCATATTGTTGGGTAGCAACTGTCCGTTCGCCAACTGAAATAGAGAAAATTTTGCATTTATTAACAGAGCAGTGCTAAATGCATGACTAGCCTATTAAAGCAACAACTTACATAAGTTCAGTAATAATGCTCACTTCCACTACCTTCCTTGCCTCGGAAAAATTTTCTTCTCGAGTATATTTTTGCTCCTGATGCGTTTCTGCAAACTATCTATTTTTTTACTGCATTGTTTTTCTTCGCCAAATGTAAAAACAGAACACAATTTTCTTTTTTCTCTGCTTCAGAAAGTTATGCACCGATTTTATTATTGTTTATGTTTGGGGTTTTCTTGTAAAAATCAACAATTCGATAGTAGTAAAATCACAAAATTCATGTAATAAAAAAAAATAAAATGTCAAATCAATGTCAAATTAATCGCTGCATATAAAATAGAAATCAAAACAAATGCTTCTTCTTCGTTTGTTGTAAATAAGAAAAACCACACTTGATATACAAACAAAATGTCAAAACAAAGAGAGTATGGTACACTGAGAGAAATATTTGATTTCCTTCTCACAAAAACTGAATATTTTTCACTAGTAGTAATTGAACAAACTGTCAAAAGTCGTTAGGGGAGAAATAACGCCACGCATTGTTTCCGCTCCTTGATTCATCTACCTGTGTTCTTCTACCATTGGTTCAAAAATACATGACAGATGTCGGGTCCTGGAGTTTATTTTTAAATCCCTCAGAAGTCAAAAAGGCCCAATTTTGGGCCATAAAATATTGACCAAATTTTAGCTTACAATCCATCTTACAATCTAACCTTTCCAAAATACCTTTGTTATTTTCTTTCTCGGATCTAGTATCCGGATGACCCAATTCTGTTCAGTACATTGATATGAAAAACGTACATTGGTATTAAAAACGTTACTTCCGTAGCCGGATTGCACATACCCAGAGAAGAAAATCTCAAGACCCCAGAAAATGAGGCCTTTCCCGACTTTTGAGTGGGGATGGAACAGGTCGATTTTGATACAACTCCGGAACCGTATTTTCATTAGCTTTCAAATGATACCTTTATTGTCCATATCGGTTTAGTAGATCCCGATCTAACCCGGGCCTTGGAACAGGACTTTCGGGTCAAATATCCGGGTCCGTCCCACAAGAAATAACATACTTTCCCGGAATCAAGGTAGAAATAGCTACCTCTGGATTTTTTTTTTAAATCCGAGAGTTTTTACTAAACTTAGCTTAAATTAACGTTATAGCTGTTTTAAATGTGATCCCCAGTCTCCCACAGGCAGCTGCAGAAACAAAAAGACATTAATGACTTGAAACAAAATCTGCAAATATAAAATTTATTTAATAAAAAAAACTAAAAAAATGTTTTAAACAAACAACAATGATACAACATTTAACTATTCATACGCATACGATCTATGGGACGACGAGGTTGAATACGAAAACGTTTCGAGGATGTATTAAAACTATCTGTTGGTGAGGTGGCTTCAGAGCTATGCAATTTGGCCAAATAGGCCGAGGTGGATTGTTCGCTTGTTGTAAAGGTACGTTTACGCTTCAAAGAACTCAATTCATTTTCATCGACCAATGGCTTGGAGCGGACCAAAGAACCTGTAAAAGAAAATTGCTTAATATCATCAAATATCCAAAACTAGAAAATAAAAAAATATACACACACCTGCTATAGAGGCACATCTTTTAATAATTGAATTGGAATTTGCATCGGTGGCTAGTACTGAAGATTCATTTTTGGGCGAACATTTTGGATTGGAACCCTTGCGTGATGGCAAACGCATAACAGAACTCATTATCGACCAAATACCAGATTGATTTTGTTTATTTTTTATATCATCCAAATTTCGATTGCCCGATTGTTTTACAGGTTCTTCGGCAGCAAATACCTCATCTTCAATGTCATCATCATTGGTATCAAAGGTATCGGTTAGATTCTCAATGCGACTGAAGGCTGTACTATGGGCACAGTCTTTAAGAGAAGTTGGCCTACGAACGGGTGGTGAAAAACGTCCATTTAGGTTTTGTGGCACTAAGCGTTTACGACCGCACATTTCTGGCGAACTCCTGTTTCCATCTTGGGTCAAACTCGATTTTCGTATTGGTGTGGCATTGGGCGTAAAGAATAAATCACATGGTGAATTTTGCGAGTCCCGAGAGTCACGAGACTCAAGTTTGGGAGTCTCGAATTTAATCAGTTTCTTGTGTATTACAGCACCGGGAATGCGTGTAATTGGGGTCAACGGTGGCAAAGGATTGTGAATGACATTCTCCTCATCCACCGATTGTATGGCTTGTATTTGTTCCGTTGTGGCAGTTATTATTTCAACACTGCGACACGATTTGAAAACTGATCCACTGGAACTATTTGATCCCGTCGAATGGTAAGAATTGGAACTGGAACTGGACGATGAGTGGGGTTTGATGGAATTGATACTACCGTTTGAACTAGTGCCAGATGTTGAGGCTGAAGACACACTTGACATGTGTTCGGTGCGAGTTATTACAATCGACTCTGTAGTAAGTTTTTGTGCGGACAGTAGGATTTTACGCCTCATACTTGGTAAGTCATTTCTTTGTTCGCGTGCCTCCTCGCCTGCACTTTGAACTGACAGCGATTCTTCCGCTTCACTATTCCTACGGCGTACAGCTGGCGATAGACGTAGATCAAGTGGTGGTGGGGCTGGAGAATGTGCACCTGTACCATTTAATCCCGGCGATGAAGACGAATCGAACATCTTCTTGCGTTGAATAGCGGCCGCAGTACCCCGAACTGCCGTCGAAGCAGGTAAGCCATGTTCAGCAAAAGCTTTTTGTATACTCTTTGACATGACCTGACGTAATGGTGTTACAGCGGACATTCTCGGCCGTCCACCGCCAACTTTGCGATAGCGATTAATTGGCTCAAGAGCTTGGCTGTAAAAAGAGAAAATAAGAAAAAATTCGTCGAGGGTGACTATCTTAAAAAAGGAGAGGCTAGATGGCTTTATGTTTTACTATGATGGTATGATAATCCTGTCACTTTAAAGACCCTTTCAAGACCCATATCTCCCATTCATTACGAATTCTTTTAAAACTTTATCCAGGTTTTTGCTTAATTCGGACTGATTACATGATTCCCGATTATATGATCAATTTAGCAATGTTTTTCGAACGTACCTGCTTGGTTGCGGCAACGCTGGACTTATATCCGAGTCGCTGTTATAAATACTTGACATGTGACCTGTACCGGTAGCATTGAATGTCTGTTCCTTCGGCTTGGCAAAAACCATTTCCAGATGTACAGGTGTTGACGTTGAACGTATCACCTTACCCTTTACGGCCGAGGCGACACCAACACTACGACGAATCGATGAATTGCTAATCGACGATATATTCTTAATTGACGAAACACTGTCGCTAATGAACTCCTCATGGGCTTTACTTTTGGCCTTCCAACGCATGTTAATAATTGAAATGGGCGTCATATGACTATCATTGAAGTCATGTCGCCGCATTGGCGATATTTGGGTAGACTGAAGACCAGCTTTAGTAACAGTTACCCTGGACGCTTCATCGGTATAGCATGTTTGATTTACATCTGTCGATTGGGCCGAGTGACAGGCTTCGTGGGGACGCATACATTTTGTGAATTCTTTAAGATCTTCAATGTTATAGTACATCTTGGCACATTTTTCACAGCGCAATGGCAAATGATGTGTTTCCAAGTGGATTAACATTTCCGTATAGATTTCACTTTGCAGAGGCAGTGGGCGTTTTTCACAAATTGGACAAAACAAATAAATCTCTTCGTACGGAGGTGGTCTTTCCGGTACACTGGATGTTATAATGGCTTGGTTGCTGCTCTCGCCACATTTGACCAAGGATGAAACTACAGCACCACCACTGTTATCGTCGCCGTCGCTTATCATTGCGGGAAGACGTACAACGATTGCGTGATTTTTTATCTTATGTTTTTGACAACACTTGGCACAACAAAAAACAGCTTTACAAACTCCACAAATTGTCTGAAAGTGGAAATAGGAAGCATTTTAAATAAGTGTGGCTGAAAAAACCTATCTATTTTAAATTAGGCATTGGACTGTAAACAACTTATAATGGACTCAAGTTTGTTACATAAACTTACGTCTTCTGGTATATACATATTGGAAATATTATTTTGAAACTATCATTTATAATAAAATCATACTTCACACTTCTTCTCCTTGTTCCATTTATAACGGTTTATTCATTTTAACCCTATGAGTGATGGTTATTCCTTTCACATTTTGACAGCTACTGTCCACTACATGGTTGTATCTCTGCTACTGCTGTGATCAATTATTTTTATGGCAACTCTGTCATTAGAGAGATATGCTGTGTTCCCATGGTAGAAGAATACAGGTAAGTGCATCAACGCTTGGGAACATTGATATGTCAAAAAATTTCAAATGTTTTTTTTTTTTTTAAATATAAGTAGATGCTTTCATATAATACGCTAATCGATGGTTAATATAAAAGGTGTTTCTCAACATGTTTTACAAATTTAAATAATTTTTCATGCAAAAATTTCAATAACAAAATTGTTTTGACAGTTCATTGTCTCAGCAGCTGGGTCAATGTGTCACCTGTGTTCTTCTACCATGCTGTGTTTCCATACATTTTTAAATGGAAAATGCTTTGCTCGGAAAGTTGGGAGGTAAACACTAATGCTCTGTTCCAGAACCTGCAAGAATCAACCAGTTTTTTAATATCACAAAGATAAACAGAGATAAATCGATGTGAAAACTTCAAAATTCTTGTTGTTCTGGGACAGTGCATAAAGGTGCAGATGTAATTATTCACTGTTCCAGAATTACAAGAATGTAAATAATTTTACTGCCATAACCGATTTCCCATTTGTAATATTGAAACAAAATGGCAAAACTAGTAGATTCCTGCAGGTTCTGGAACAGAGCATTACGTTTCAAAACTGAACTTTCCGGGCAATGTCTTTTCCATTTAAAAATATATGGGTACACAGCATATTTTCGATGACTTAAGCCAAAAAAGACTGGCTAAAATTGAATTTGCACCCAACTGGGCGCGTATTGTCACAACGACTGGAACAGACCAAATATTTTGTTCCAGTGACCCTGTTCGCCGGTCAATGGCTTACTTTTCATGTTCCCAAATTTCGGAATCAACATCAATGCAAATGTTAAATATTCAAAAAAGCAGAAAAATTCACATGAATATTGCATCCTTTGAACATTATTCTACATTCCGATGATGATGTTAAAAAAGGACCCGCGTGCATATTCCCGATTTTAGAAACCAACAGCAAAGCATATTGTAAAATCTTCTCTGAATTTAATTTAATAACCAAACAAAAAAAAAAATAAAATTTGTCGCCGTTGAAAAAAATTGAAAATTGACATCGACGTTTATAAAATTTAAAAAAAATGCCGGCTTTGTTGTTTATTTGAAATTCAAACATTTTTCAATTTCTTTAGATTTGAATCAGACCTATAATTTTCGATCTTTTATTGTGGTTTAAATAGAATCGTTATCCGGGGATAAAAATGCTATAGTATAACAAGCATTGGATAGAAAACAATGAAAATTATGGAAAACATTTGAAACTGTCACTAACATCGCTGTTTGAAGAATGTCGAATGTCATATCGAAAGAAAAGAAAGAATTTTTTCAAAAAGGGGAACAATTGTGAAATTGAATTATAATATAATCCCATCATGTTTTTACAAGCGGAAACAGGTTAGAGCCTATTTAACGGTTCAGAGCAAATCCATGTAATGCATTTAATTTAACATGGGTATAAATAAATGTCCAATTTGAGAAAAAAAATGAAAAAATCTATTTAGGACCAAAGAAAGTTTTTCAAACAATATGTTGAATTGAAAGAGGCTTTTTGAGTTGTGAAACGTATTGTCCAGAAATATGAGAAAGTTTATGTTGAATAACGGCTGACATTGGTGAAAAAATTGGTTTGCTATTACGGCAACGTGCATGGAAGGACACCGATGCTGTTAAACCAAGCTAGGGATTGCAACTCAACTTTACTAAAAGATGTTGATTTTAAACGAATTTCGTGAGGAATTGGAATTCTCAAAATATCTTCTCCAAGCTTGACGAAAAAATACAGAATGTTGGTATGAAATACTCTCTTATTATGCGTTCAAAATGTTTAAAATTTGACACCGATAATCAATATAATTGGAGAAACACGATTTAGTTATAGTTTCTGTATGTTTTCCTCTATTTGTTCTCCTGGGTGTCCTACAATATCAAGATAGCAAGGATGCCCATCTAATTTGCGTCTACTGTAATGCTACTGTCAATTTCAATTTGACGTGTTGTGTTTTATTTCCCATTTTTAATGTAATTTGGGACTTTTGTCCTCACAATTGAAAAACTTACGTTGTCCTACTTCAGAGAATGCCGTTGGTGCGAAAAGAAGCGGCTGCAAAACTCAAAACGGCCAAAATTAATTACTTCACTTGTCCTCATTTACTGGACCTTTGGGTTATCGAACAAAATTTTGTAATCACATCTAATTTGTACAAAGTACAACCAACTCTTGCGTTATCCTACATACCTAATGATATAAATTATTGAAGAACATTCGCATGATAGTATTTATGGATATGCCGTATTTATCTTAGGTAAATACGCAATGAACGTTTAAAAACATTTATTTTTCTATCGCTTTATTTTGATCTATTTTCATTTTTAAATGTGAGACATCATCATAGGCCACTTTGTGTGCAGAAAAGAGATGATTTTTTAGTCTGAAGTTAACAAGGCAAATATTTATAATTTATGGCAGCTACAAGACAAAAATTTTAAATAACTTACAGGTGTGGTTTCAGGAATGTCTTTTCACACATGTAACAACTATACCGATGACCAGAATGTACCTTGTATAAATGATCCTGTAAACGTTTACGTGTCTGGAATGCTTTCGAACAGGTGGAACATTCGAATTGTTTCTCGCCAGTGTGAATAAATGTATGATCGACTAGATGCTGTCGTTGTCGGAAGGCAGCTTTACAGTCTTCATACTCGCATACAAATGGTTTTTCATCGCGATGCATACGAGAATGTAGAATAAGCTGGGATCGTCGAGCAAATTTTTTATCACATTGCGGGCATTCGACTTTCTTGCCGAAATGCAATGTCTGGTGGGTGGTAAGAATATTTTTCTGTCGAAAACATTTTCCGCAAACCTCACACTTAAAGGGTTTTACATCACTGTGGATATTGTAGTGTGATTCAATATCATAGATGCGATCAAAGGCTCGATCTAAAAAGTAAAATAAGACAACATCAGTTCAGATTTAAATGTAATTCTCCCATACATACCACAGTGCTGACATTGATATGACTTTTTCACTTTTCCATTTTCATCTAGCACGGTTGTAACAACATAAGTATTAGTGGATGGGCCAGAATTTTGGGTATTGGAACGCATTTTTGGCTCAGAAGTTGTAGCATGCAACTCTTTGTTTAAGGTTTGTTGTATAAGTTTGTAAATATCTTCATCCTCATTCCCATTGTCGTCTCCATTGTCTTCCTGATAGACGTATGTATTATTTTCGTTCTCTACTTCTTTTGCCGTGCTTGATTCTGATTGCGAATCATCTTGCTCACCATCGTTTCCTTCATATTCAAAATTTATTATTTCTTGTTCATCGTTATATTTATCCTTGTTTTCCATCGGTAACGATGTATCATCATCCTCCTGTGACCACGTTTCTGTAACGTCCATATGTGCGTTGTATTCGTCTTCTTCTATAACATTATCCACTGAATTGTTTTCATGGTGATCGGTGCCTTCATTGGATTCCGTTGCATAACCATTTTCATTTATTGGTAATGTCAGTAGCAGCTCATCTTCTTCTTCCTGTTTGGGTTCCTGATTCAATTGCATATCTGCAGATTCCTTAGTTGACGATACTACTGCAACGTATACGTTGTTTCTGACATCTTTAGTCACACTCGGTAGGTTATTGCTCTCGAGAACTGGCTTTGGGTTATCACATTCTGTGGGGAATTGGGTCTTCCAATACTCATCGGCATCCTTGCACTGTTCATGGAAATCCTGAAATTCGGCTAATTTATTAAAGCATGCCGCACAGAGATTTGTTGGATCTGTGGACTTTTGTTTGCGAATAAGATTCTTCAATTGTAATTCTTGTTCCACATATTTCAGGATTGCCCGTGTCATTTTTATTGGTTCGTGACCAATACTTTGCAAGCAAATTCGGCAATTATTAAAAAGATCCATGCTGCTCTGGATTTATTTAAATAACCGCTGTTTTGTTATTTATTTCCTGATGTAATTTCGCCCACTTGTGCCTTGCAGGTTTACACGGCATCTACATTAGGGTTATGTAGGTCGAGTTCAGTTCTAGTCGACGGCTAGTGAATAATCGATGTATGTGCAGTCGGCACCGTAAGCGGTATGCTATGTTCCCACGACATCTGCTGATCAGATTTTTTTTCGATGATAAGCGGTGAGCGCTTTCCTTCGTGTATATATTCGTTAGTCTGTGCCACTGTAACGGGAAATTGCATATGTAGTTTCTCATATTGATGCAGTCCACAAATATCGGTACCGTCCCCTTTAAGGTATTTAAGGCACGAATCCCCATACATTTATTTTTAAGGGTTTTTTAAAGGTTTTCGTTACCTCGAGTTGGAGGCTTTTTAAAGTTTGGCCTGACCTTTTTCTTTTTTTTAATATTGTAGGACATTTGAAAACGGTCACCCAGGAGGCAAATTTATAGCTGATCGTTCTATAATTAGCTAAAGGTTTTTCTTGCAAAAAAATCTAATTTAAATAAAAAACGAAGTATACCTTTTAAGCACTAAAAAGAAAGGTATAAATTACCTTCATCTGCAGGCCAATTTGGCGCCATTATTGTTTGTATCGACATTTGTAATTGCTTTAAACTGGGCTTTACCGTCTTCACCTGACCCAGGGCCAAATAATAGCACACCTGTAGCACCAAAAAGAACACCTTCAAATACTCTTTCTGATGTGGATTCGCAATACTATTGTCAATTATGGCCCCAGCCGAATTGAGCAGTGCCAGTACATCGTTGGTTTTACGTTCTATCATTAGGATCATTGCCCGTGACAGCAGAAAGAGCACCTTTAAATATGTGGCACTTGACTCATCGGCTGATTCTGCACCAACCGCAAGCAGCTCTGAAGCTAGAGTGTATTCCTTGTCATTTGCATGTAGTTGGGACAATTGCAGCAGCAGTTTACAATGCCAATAGACATTGTTTTG